TAATGCACGCTGTACTCTTTTTTCCTTGTCTATGGTTTTGTTTCACTGGGTTTTCCTAGTAAGGTTTTTAATGAGGCAGCATTGCATAGTGTATTAATAAATGATGTACTCTTTTTCTTTCACTAAGTTTTTATCCTATAGGATTTTTCCTAGTTGAAGTTTTTTAATAATATTGGACATCCAAGAGGGAGTGTTATGAATATAATAATATCTTTGTGGATGTCCATATATCTCCCATTATCTCCTCTATCTCTTATAATCTCTAATATCTCCTATTATCTCTATATCCCACAATTATCTCATATTATTATGTAATCTGTAGATTCTATCAAAAGTGTAAAGTTGTGTCTATAAATAAAAGCCATGTAATGTATTGAGCACACTTGAATGGAATGAGAAGTACTTTCTCTTGTTGATTATCTCTTCTTCTGTATGATTTTTCTCTATATTTCTTCTTTATTTATAACACTTTTTATATTATCATTAACAAAGAAAAAGAAAAAATTAGGGAAAATTCTGTTTTGGGAAATTTATATTAGGTGGGCAAAGGGATATTATGCAATTCTTCTTTGACTATGTGAAACCCATCATTATGTGCAAAATTTTTTAGAAAAAAGACGATAAACTATCTTAGAAATTACTAAAAAATAAATCAATATCGATGAATCTTAAAATCTCAATTTAGATTCTTTGTATTACTCCTCCGATCCTTAATATAAGACCTAATTGTTGAGTTGATTTTGATCTTAAATACAAGACATATTTTTCATATTTATTAATTTTTCTAAATTATCCCTATGGATACTTTCTCAACCGTAACCAAGTAGAAAAAAGGAGGATATTAAGGAAGATAATTATAGTGTTTTAGAAAAAATATGTCATATTTCTTATAATTAACTAACTTATCTAATTTTCTTAATCTAATCACATTAGTTAAATAGGTCTTATATTAAAGACCGAAGGAGTATTTTGGAATTTTCAAATCTTGCCAAATTACACAAACACCCTTTATTATTTTTTTTTCTTTTCTTTTTAAATATTGCTACCTCAGCAGGTTTTTAGCTGCCATTGCTTCGGCATCAAGAAACCTGCCACTGGCTAGTTACCGAAGTTTCGATAACTACTCTTTTTTATGTATTGACTACTTTTTTCTAGCTATTGATTAAATTGGTTTTTAGAACTCTGATAATTACTCTTATTTAATTACTGACTACTTTAATATTGTGATTGACTATTTTTATTTTTTTAAAATTTGGTGACTATTCTTGCTTAACTATTAACTACTATATTTTTGCTGTTGACTACTTTTAATATTTTGTGATCGACGTGATTGATGCTTTAGTCTATGCAATTGGTCTCTCTAATTTATCGTCATTTTTCCCGGAAAGTTCTGGCTGTGTCATTGTGAATAATTCAAGGGAAATTTTCATTTAAGGATGGCAAAAGAGAATTTATATTAGTTAACCCCCAAAACATTATGAAATATCACTGCAGGACTAAGAAACCAAACTGAAATGAAAATTAAGAGTAAGATTATAATAATACCCCTCATTTTTATTTTTTAAAAAATAATATTAATGGACGCAACTGCTTCGGTGGCCGAATTCTTTTTTTCTTTAAACAAGGTGGCTAAGGGAAGGTTTGAACCTATGACCCCTTAGCACACCAAAAGTGATGTAACCACCAAGCTAAGCAAACCATTCAATCATGTGATGCAAATAAAAATATATATAACAAAACAAACGCAAATATCCAAGTATAAGTGAACAAGTGAAATTAGACGATTTACAAGTGAAATTTAACAATTTACAACAAAAATTAGCCAATTTACAAATAATATAATAAAATTCACAGCCCCAAATGTAAGTGTTCAAGTGTAAATAAGCAAGTGAAATGTGAAGATTTACAACAAAAGTTTATGAATTTATAAGTGAAATTTGATAATTTACAAGCGAAATTCAACGATTTACAAGTGAAATTCAGTAATTTGCAACAAAAATTAAGCAATTTATAAATAACATAATGGAATTCACAACTCCAGATGTAAATATTTAAGTGTAAATGAGCAAGTGAAATTTGAAGATTTACAACAAAAGTTTATGAATTTACAAGTGAAATTCAACAATTTATAACAAAAATTAGGCAATTTACAAATAATATAATAAAATTCATAACCCCAAATACAAATATATAAATGTAAATAAGCAAGTAAAATTGTCGAATTTCATTTGTAAATTGTCGAATTTCACTCGTAAATCTATACACTTTTGTTGTAAATATTGAAATTTCACTTGCTCATTTACACTTAAACACTTGCATTTAGGGTTGTGAATTCTATTATGTTATTTGTAAATTGTCAAATTTTTTGTTGTAAATTGTTGAATTTTACTTGTTCACTTACACTCAACACACTTACATTTTGGGTTGTGAATTCTCTTATGTTTCTTGTGAATAGCCAAATTTGGGTTGTAAATCCATAAACTTTTGTTGTAAATCTTCAAATTTCATTTTCTCATTTGCATTTAAACATTTGCATTTAGAGTTGTGAATTTTATTATGTTATTTGTAAATTGCCTAATTTTTATTGTAAATTATTGAATTTTACTTATAAATCATCTAATTTCACCTGTTCACTTATACTTGAACAGTTACGTTTGTTTTGTTATATACATATTTTTATTTGCATCACATAATTGAATGGCTTGCTTGGCTTGGTGGTTACATTATTTTTGCTGTGCCAAGGAGTCATGGGTTCTGGCCACCAAAGCTACAGTAACGACCACTAGAGGTCCAACCTCCAGTGACGGCCACCTGAGCACCGGTGGCCGGAACAGTTGCGTCCCTTAATATTTATTTTTTAAAAAATAAAGTGAGAGGTATTATTATAATCTTACTCTTAATTTTAATTTCAATTTGGTTCTTTAGTACTGTAGTGATATTTTAGAATATTTTAGAAGTTGACTGATATAAATGCTCTTCTACGGTCCTTAAATGAAATTTTCCCATAATTCATGGTGTGTGTGCGTGTTAAGCACCTGATGAGTGTGAAGATAGAGAGCACCTCAACTCAATTCAGAATTGTTTGATGTAGTCTCAATGTTCTTGTTTCAGTACTTTTCATATTATCATTAAAAAGAAAAAATTAGGGAATTTCTTATTTGAGAAATTTTTTTTTGCTACAAAGGAAATTTATATTTGGTCAAAGGGATATGATGCAATTCTTCTGTGACTTTGTAAAAAAATTGTCTAGTCATTTGTGAATATATGAAGATTTTTTTTTGGTCAAAGAAACATATGAAGAATTGCTCCCACTCAAATTGATGATATATCAAATTTGAAACTAAGAAATAGAACATGAATTCAAATGTTGAAAATTAGATTTTATTATTGAAAAATCAATTTCTCTACTCAAAATTGATTTTGTTAGTCAAAAATGGATGTTTGTCCTCTTCTATCACACATTTTATTTTTCATTTTTTAAATTTATACTTTCAACAAGTTTTAATTTTGAGTAATTCTCATCCTTATATATCCTAATGAGGGGTTTAAAAACCAACATAAAAACCCGTTAAAAATACAAGAACCAAAGTAGGCTTAACCTTTTTATTAAAATATTAAATTAAAATATGACAAATATATCATATGTCAATAAAAACATAACACTATAAGTTTTTTTTTTTGTTTTAGGTGAGAACATAACATTATAAGTTAACCAAATAACTACATGCGCACCTAAAAAAATCAAACATTTGTCATGCTTTGAGAAAGAATTATATAAATGATAACTACGACAAGATAAAGAGTAAATCAAAAATGTAAATAAGAATAATATTTACAATTAGAAAGGCATACAATGTAAAGCATTATAAAATGTAATTTCACTTTACAAGCAAACTGCATCAAACAATATAAATAATTCAATATGCTTCCTTCTTAATCTCATCTTTAGTGCTTCGTTATAATAATAGTTAACTGCTTCAAGTTTTCTGACTAGTTTTGAAGATCTTTTTTTTTTCTTTTTCAAAAATAAAAACTTTTTTATTTGGCAAAAAGAAAAAAGTGTAGGTGAATTAGTTCTTGCCCACCCGAGGCAAAGCATATCTCCAGATTTAGAGAATGCTTATAGAAATATTTATAGATAGTCACCAACAAGATCCTCATATAAGTACTGAGATTTGAACTCATGATCTTGTAGGTTATGAGTTGATTCCTTATCAACTAGACCAACTCTTGTTGGTAAAAACCTTAAAAATACAAAGAAACACACACACAGACACCTAGCATAAAGAAAGCTCACATCTCACGTAGAACCAGTTTCCCTGCTAGGTGCTCATCACCCAAACGCATCGTTTAGTAATTAAGGGAGAAATCTTGGCCACTGATTGCATGATAACCCTAATCGTTAGATTCTGAAATTGCTTTTGACAGTGGAAGCTTACAGACATGAATTGTTTTTTCACCTATGAGCGTCGTCATTGACGGCGGCTGTCCTTGGACGGCACATGGGGATAAAAGGTAACGCATGGTTCAACAGCATATAGTGAGATTTGGTTCAATGATGCTTGAAAGGATTACGCAGATCTAGTTTGCTGGTGCAGGGATTCATGAACCAAAGTAGGATTTGAAGAAGAGACGAACGGAAGCCATTGCAAAAAAACTTAAAATAATGGTTCAGATGTTGGTTTTCATCGATTTCTTATAGGAAAATTGCACCACTCTGGCTCAAATGCAGAAGAGCAATTTGTATAAAGCGGTGCTGAAGAGAAATGCAAAAGCGTGTTTGTAGAGCCCCACAAAAATTACTTGGTGTGAGCTATTAACAATTTAACACCACTGTGGCGATTTAATAAATAGAACCCCTGTCTACTTTTAATTGAAACGCTGCGCTTTGGGTGATGAGCACTTGGTGCGCATCATCGTGCTTAGCAGGGAAACTGGTTCCCATCTGACGCACATGCTCCCCCCCCCCCCCCCTTTTGGGGATAAGCCAAGGATGCCACTAAACCATAAAAAAAGAAATGTACAAAGCTTGCAAGGATAGACGGAATGTCTTCCTGCCGCGCTTGACAAAACCATGGAACTTTGTCCAAAACAGCAACATAAGATCGTACAGATTTACACACGCATGCTACTTACTGCAGACATGATTAGAATACTACACTTTACAACAGTAATTTAAGATGCCTAATTGTCAGTTTCCATGTTACACATACACACACAAACCATGTATTTGTAGTTAGTGGGACTCTGCAGCTTTGAATAGTTCTTGCCACCTTGCAGCATCAGTTCCAGGACCTTCACCCTATGATCATTATTACAATATATTCATTTTAGCATCAATTATATGCATCAATATATTCATTTTAGTCCATAAACCTCTATCCGCAGAAATACAAATTGAAATAAGAGACGTACTGACAGAAAAGATGACAACTAAAGACCCGTAATTCATATTAACCAACAATATAAAATTTACAAGAAGCTATTATAAGTCGTGAATAGTGTGGCTTATTCCTTAGACTTTGTGCAATATGGGAGAAACAAATTTAGTTACAGCCAAAAAATGTTGAAAATGAGAACTTCTCTCGATGATCACAAAAATAAGTTCTACTAGAGGTGCAGATGTTATGTATCCCATTTATATAGGAATGAAAAGCAAATGCCTCTCTTATGGCAGCAAAAACAGGGCCCAAGTTGTGGTATTCACGATGAAAGCGAAGTGCAAATAAAAGGTTAAAATTGCGCAACCTAAGGATGCTGAGGCACAAAACAGTAATCGCCAGTATTTTTACTTAGCCAAGGAAGATTGGCCCCTTAACTTTTTGTCATGCCATTTCTAATCGCACTGACATTACAAATTCATATGCCATAGCTTATACTATATAATGCGAAATCTATTAAAAGCTTACCTCAACAGAATTGATTTCATATACTTTGCCTTCAGTGAATTCTACATCCAGAGCTTGTATGCAAGCTTCAGCAACAACAATTCTGCTGGCCTCTCCAACCAGTTTATCTCCTGAAAGTCGATTGCAGATGCTTATCAAAAAGAAAAAGAAAGAAAAGACCATCCCAATTATAAACTAATTATAGAAGTATTAACTATGGTGAACTCTACTCCTGATAACTACCATGTGTTTCAACTCGAATAGTCATTTAGAAAATTCAGGAACTGCCCTGTCATTTGTCACATTAAAAGTTGAGTCTTTTCTCTTCTGAGTATTATGTAAAGTCCAGATGCTTACATTGGTTAGCATTTCACTTCTGCTGTTTCTTTTGTTAGTTCTGCAGCTGAGTTTCATGAAAGGGAATGGTGATAAATTTGGTCCGAGTATGAAGACCTTCCCTTGTTTTTTTGCAAGTTCAAAGAAGAACAAATTGGTTTGTTTTAAACGCAGAGAAAAGATTCAAATAAATTATAGACCAATTCTCAAGATATTTTAAGAATGCTGTCCATTTATTTCAAGACTCATCACGTATAATTCAGGATAATTTTGCATTGGTTCAGATCAACTTCATTTGTTGCTACAATTGTGGGGAGTCACGTACAAAATGGTAGCTCCAATGTCAACATCTATACCATTTTCAAAACTTACCAAACCGGAACCTCCATTTTCTAATCAATCTACCTTACAAAAGACATAGAGAGTTGTATGTGACATAGCACCCTCAGCACAAATGGTACCTAGTTCCAAGCTTTGAGCAATTTCTATTGCTAATCAAGAGAGCCTAGCATCCATATTTTCCTAGCTATGGTCATTACCACAAAGAAACACTCGTCCCAATTCAGATTCCACTTGTTCTTAAAACGCAAACCAAACTAGCAATCAAATCGTTGGTTTATAATATAATATCACCACACTGAGCTTCTAGCAGCCTCTCTATACTCATTGGTTGAAAATGCTTAGAAATGAAGAACAAAAACATAAAAACTAGTGCCAAGGCAAAACAAGCATCTTAACATACCTTGACCCATAAGGACAGCACGCCGTTGCCCTGCTGTGGCCTTGAGCAGAGTATTAAGATCATAAGACGTGTATGGCCCATCAGTCAGCCTCCCAGGTCTGACATGCATTAAAATGTGGAATGAAGAGATTTAAGAGCTCAATGGCACATAATCCAAATTAATGTGTTCCATTTATTTATTTATATACCAGCAAAGATAATAAGTAAACGCAACTTTCACTTACCTGATAATAGTAAATGGAATGCCCGAACTCTGGAGAAAATCCTCTGCCATCTTCTTATATTTGAGGACACCAAATAGGTTCATAACGCTACACCACAAAGTAGATTATGAGTAGATGTGTGACACAAACAATCAACAAGTCTTCTAGATGATAAAAGTGCAACTATGATGGAAGATGGAAACATGAAATTAATTTCATTTCATTATGAGATGTTGCCAGTACAGTACGGGACTGGAGCTTCGTAATAGGATAATTGGGACAATTTACGATGAATAGGAATTATCAAAGAAGAAATTCGAGCAATGAGATACTTTATCTCCTAGTAGAGAGCAGGATTAAAATACTAGGCACTCATATCTAGGAAATATAAGGATTTCTTATCAGGTTGTCTATAATCAAATAAAATAGTTATCCTGATATTTACTATAAGTTGTACATCAATATCTAAGATATATTTAGAATTCTATTATTTTCTTTTCCCCTCTTCTTGTGCACTAAATTTAGCCAAATCTGGTCTTTCAGTGCCATTGTCACACCTGGAATTTTGTGTTTAGGGTTAAGGTGCAAATTTGTCCCAGAAGTCTTCACACAAGAGCACTGGATGCCCAAAAGTTTTTTTTAGGTGCAAATTTGCCCCGAAAGTTTAAAATCATAACAATTTTGCCCCCAATCATTAAAAATGTAATAGTCAACGTTACAATTTTGACAGTCAACATTAGTTTTGTAATGGTATGGGGGGCAAAATTACTACGATTTTAAACTTTTGAAGCAAATTTTCACCCCAAAAAAAAAAAAATTCCAGACACCCAATGATCTTGAGTGAAAACTCTTGAAACAAATTGCACCTTAACCCTTTGTGTTTACCTTTGTGCAAGAGACAACACAACTACTGATTTTCTCCTCTCTTCCCTACCGACAAGGGAACCATTGATTACAGCCGTGAATTCCATTAGCTCACCCAAGTTTGACTCTATTTTCAATGTCTCTCCAAGCCACCCATCTCGTTTGTAACATCTCAACCCTACGTTCACCATGCACCTAGGAATGTATTAATTTGATAGCATATTATGACTCAAGTATTTCCCTTGCGTTACAGTTAAATAGACACAAAAACAACTTAAAAAGGAATGGAACTCCCCACATAAACAAATTAAGCCTGATTCTCCCTCTGTCCTTACCCCAATTTATCTCAGACTACCTAGTCAACTAAAAAATAAAAAAAAGAACTCCATGTGTCTCTCATCCACCATTATAATTCCCATGCATTGGGCAATTCATTTGGTAAAACCTCAATTTCCAGTAGAAGCTTCTTATTCTTTCCTTGCCTACATCATGTAAATTGGGGATTGATTATGTAGTTCCAACTTCCAGCAAAGCCTTTTAAAAGAATGATCAAATAAAGGAGATACCAAAGACATCCTTTTCTATTTTTTGGTTACAACCAAAGGCATTCTTTAAAAAGGACCAATTTATAACCTTTAAAGTAGCACCAATTCTTCAGTCAACCTATCACTCCACAAGAATTCGACCTATCACTTCAGTCAACCTTTAAAGTTTTGATCTATGCTTGGTAAATCTAGGAATAAGAAGGCACAAGTGGGTGCCTCTTATTCTAGACAATTGGGGGAGGGGGGTTGTCTTTAAGCCAAAAGCAATGTGGCAAAGGAAGCCAATTAGTGCCTTGAACTAACAACTCTGATCAAACTGTAGTTTGATTTTTCTCTTCAAATCATCAGCGAGTTGATTTGTACCTAACTTTAACTCAATAAAGAAAACCACAATAACAACGACCTTGATCTTTTCTTTTTCTCTTATTATATCTTGTCAAAGGGCAGTCTACATCAGGATATTAACAAACAAATTTGAGACAAAATAGTAGAAAATTTAGAAGGTTCACAGAACACTTTTAATTTCGGACAGAACAGTCATATTTTATGACATCTTTTAATCACCAATAAAGGTCAGTTACTGGGTCATAAAGAGATTAAAACCAAATATGCCCTGGGTTAAAAATAATTTGCGTCCCTAAAAGTAAAGATGAGAAACCTGTTTGGGAGAACTTTTGAAGCCATGGTTTTGGGAG